GCCAAGACGAAACCCCAGGGTGGAGTCAAGGGAGGGAGGAGCCATGGTGGAGAAGGCCTTAACGACACCCTGGGGACAACTGACGGAGACGGAGCCGATGGAAGAGGAGCCCAGGATGGAGCCGAGCAGACAGAGAGCCAGGGCGACACTGAGGATCTGGAGGGCCAAGGCGGAGCTGAAGGATCAGGTGACCGAGGCGGAGATGGGGATCCGGAAGACCGCGGCGGAGCCGGAGCAACTGAGGATGAAGGCGGAGCCGAAGGGAAGGAGGAGCCTGACAGAGCCAGAGGGACGGAGTGACGAGGTGAAGCCAGAGGAGTGGAGTCCTGAGGCGGCGGATGGTCAACAACTGACCAAGGTGGAGTCGGAGGGACGAGGGAGCCCGGTGGAGCCAGTGGGATGATGGGCCACGGTGGAGACGAGGGAGCTAGGAGCCAAGGCGGAGCCGATGGGTCGAAGGACCGAGGTGGAGTCCAGGACTTGGAGGCTGGAGGCGGAGACAGGGGATCCTCACACCTAGGTGGAGCTGGAGACTGAAAGTCCCGAGGTGGATCAGAGCGCCCAGATGGCGCGGTGGAGCTGGAGACTGGAAGTCCCGAGGCAACGGATCAGAGCGCTCAGCTGGCGCTGACTGAGGGTGAACTGAGGGACTGACAGGCACCAGCGGAGATTGGGCTGAGGAACTGGCTGGTTTAAGAGGAGGCGGGAGAGGGAGGCTGGGAGGGAACACAGGAGGACAGGAGCTGGGCGGAACCAGCGGAGACCCAGGAGATTCAGGGCTGGACGGAACCAGCGGAGACATGGGAGACTCTGGAACATTGGGTAATACCTCCCCAAACCAGTCTATTAGGTCCATATCAAAGATGTCCATTAGTCCCTCATAAATAATTCCTAGAGGCCAGCTGCAGCTCACCCTCAGCGGCAGGAGTGTGGGCGGGGCTTCCCTCCAAGCCCTCGATCTCCACCAAAACTCCCTCGGGAACGGGTGATGTAGCCGGCTCACGCACCTGGTCAGACAATTCGAGAGGCTCAGTTGCGGTTTTATGCGCTGGCTCCCGTGTCGCAGCAGACTCAAGCTCTCCGTCTGCGGTGGGCTCTGGCAATAGCTCCGTGCAGCAGGATGACGGCTGGCTGGTCTCTGGTTTGGGAGTGGGGCTGGAGATGTCCTCACCAGCGGGGCAGACGGAGAAGTATAGTCCATTATTCTCCAGCACCCACTCCACACATGCGGCGAAGTTGTCCCGAGGACCGCTCCCCGAGAGGCGTGCCTTAGACCACTCGCTGAGGCTTGAGGTGTAAAACACACAAAGCGAGCAGTCTGGACAGTGCGTTAGTCACGCCAACTCCAAAAAATCCCTGGTGGGAGTCTCTAGGGAGCGGTCCCTCTGCTCCAGGCATAACAGGGCAACATTAGGATTGTCCATGGTGACAGAGGAATGAGGAAAAAAGGAAACAAAAACGCCGCAAAAAAAAACTAGTCGGTCTGTTCTTCTGTTAATTGTTGGTGAGGTACAAACGCACGAGGATGAAGGAGATCAACAAAAAGGTATTTTAATTAGAAAATCCAGGAGACAGGCAAGTAAACCAACATCACATAGACGAGAACAGACCAAAGAACGGACTAAACTGAGAACAGAACACAACTAATAAAGGGAAGCTAATGATGACACACACCTGAACCAAATGAAACAATCAGCAAGAGACAGAAACTAGGTCACAGGGGAACAGGCTAACTGAAAACAACAGACATGTGACACATGGAAATTCAGAGAGAATATTAGATGCGTTGGTGATGGTGAAATTATTTCCGACATTAAAACACGTTATTAACGTTTATTAAACCCAACTAATTAAAATAAATAAATAAAATAAATAAATGATTAACGTCAACAGCCAAAAAAGTTTCACAGGATTATGAATGTGCCTGAAAGTGATGCACGGGCTTCGTTTTCACCTTTTTTTTTTTTCTTTCTTTTTTTTTTT